AATGTTGGGAATTAAACTGTCAAACACCGAGCGGCCACCGGTGACCGCAACCTATTGTTCTTTAATGTGTCTATAATGACGGTACTCAACGAGTTAAGTCCCAACAGCTACTTTATATCTCACGGGAAACCATGTTTTATTCTAGACCAATATCTACCCCTGTTTTAAATTTCATCCCGATCAGTTAAGCCATTTTGACGTGATTGAGTTACAAAACAAACACACAAAGTCACAAGATGAGGTATGCAATCTCAAATTACAATAAATCGCCAACCCTACGTTGGTAATGAATACAGTCGCCGGGAAATACCACGATTAAGGTCGATGGCATCCGTGTAGGTCACAGTGAAAGTGACCCGCGGTGCTGACGGGTTAACACTGTACCGGTAGGGTGCAGGTCTCGTTTATAAACAGTACTAGCGACACAACAAGGCTTTACCCATTTACATTAACAAAAAAAATGTGTCATCAAACATTGTACTTTTAACCAACTCCAAAGAAGGAGGTTCTGGTTTTGAGATGTGTGAATGTTTGTCTGCGACTATCTCGCGATCGGCTGGACCGACTTTAATATGGTTTTCATAAGTGTCAGTTATATTTAGCCGCAGGTATTAATAATATATTAAATGACTTAAAAAAAAGATTGACGTCGGTTTTTAAATTTAGTGTAGGTAATGGAAAATTGAGTAGTTTCCAGGGTATCAAAATTAAAAATCTGATTAGTCCGTCAGTTAGATAATGAAAAAATATTAGACGCGTACTTTTTTAATTTCTCGTATTAAGTTGCAATACTTAGATAAAATGGCGCTAAGTTTAGGAGTGGGAGGTCGTTACGTCATAACGTGCTACAAAATGTGGCACGCTGTGACGTCACACGATATTTCAAATTAATATATCGTCGAAAGTATTTAATTTTGTGAGAACAGAAAAAATACGTGTCTAAAGTTTTAAATTAATGTGCATACCAGACGGACATTAAAATAAAATGTAGGTAACTATCATCACCGGGGACCGGTGGACAACCATAAGGATCACCGCTCCAGCCCGAAGCAGGAGGAACGGGGTAGTGTTTAGTCAGTAAGAGTCTCACATTCTCTCGCCTCACTCAAGGCGTAGCTACCAAAACTGTCATCGCTACTCGTCTCCAAGTTCCCACGAAATCACTTTCTTTATTTGTAAAACTAGAAACAAAATGCCTAAAGGGGGTCAAAGTAATTTATTTAACGTACGCCTTTACCCATAATTTAACTCATAAAGGTTAAAAGACAGTTTATTTTAACCCATAAATTACGTCAAAAGAATTTTCCTATACATTTTGTAGGTTCATTGAGGTATAGCCACACCCGCGTTCATGCACGAACGAAAATGAGGCGTAAAATTTTAAATATTAATCTTTGAAACTATGTACGTTTGAAAAACCGACTTCAACCCCCTCTTAATTTGAAGTTGTCTAAGATTAATGTACCAAAACCTATTTCTAAGTATAATAGTGTGTAACAAGTGTGGGAGAGCCATGCTTCGGCACGAATGGGCCGGCTCGACCGGAGTGATACCACGGCCGAGCAGAAAACCAACGTGAAGCAACGCTTGCGTTGTGTTTCGTCGTGTGAGTGAGGTTACCGGAGGCCCAATTACCCTCCCCTTCTCACCAATCTCCCCAATTCCTGAATCCCCAACGATCCCCAAACTCCTAATCCCCAAAAGGACGGTACCCTAGTCCCCGTCTCCCGAATCTCTGAATCCTCCACAATCCTCAAATTCCCAATTCCCAAAAGGCAGGTAACGCACTTGTAACGCCTCTGGTGTTCCAGGTGTCCATGGGCGACGCTGATTGCTTACCATCATGCTTACGATCCGTCTGCTCGTTTACCGGCTTAGACATAAAAATAATGCACTATGCACAAGTTTCGTGCACATGAGTGTAGCTTCACCTTTAGCTTACAATACCTATATTTATAGTTATAATTTACAAATAACTTGCCTGTACCGAGCAGGTAGGTCATGGAGAAAGTGACTCCTCTGCCCAACCCATTGTGTTAGCAGGGTTAATGGTATTTAAATAGGGAACATTATACAGTCAGTGTCGTATGAGAGTCGATGTTGATTTCTGTATATTATTAGTATTTATGAAATGTATTTTCCATTTATAAAATGAGAGAGAGAAAATTCATGTTCTTATTTTTTAAAGGTCCAGAAGTGTAGCTGTCGAACTATGGTGTATCGAGTTCCATTTCCCTGTCGATCAATGTAATACGACAGATTAAAAAAAACAATCTTGTGCTAGAAATAGGTCTCACAACACTACGGGTTAAACCAGGGGTTACTTACATTTATAATGTGAAGTGAAATGCATTTCTGCTCATCCCCAAATGATTAAAACGCGTAATGTTATACTAGGTTAGTTTTTAGTCAAAATTCCGTGGCGCTCGGCGACTGGGCTTCTCCCAGTTGTACAGTCTCTTTTTGTGCCTTTAGACTTAACTCACCCTGTCTCCTGCAGTAATTCACTGAGGGAAGTGGAAACTATCGCTTTTTTTTCTCCTCTTATAATATCTTCTGATTCAATTCGTTGCGGGAACCAAGACAGTTATTCATGTCCCTGGGACGTTAGACTGCAGTGTTCCGGTGTTTGTATGGTTGTATCTACTGTAGATCCTGATGCACAGGAATTGCAGCGGTTTTGGGAGGTTGTGGCGGGCTTGTCTCATAAAAAAATACTAGTCACCCATTATCATAATTTCTCGTGAATATCTTTACCTGTATCTTAGATCTTAGATCTTAGATAACACTATAAAAGACCTGTAAGTCTAGTCAGACTAGATCTTAGAAACAAGATCATTTATATCCTAGATTAAGATATGAGTATGCAAATCTAGTATTCATGAATATTCTCCAGATATGCTTATCGGGAATCTTAGAGAAATGTCTAGTCCATATAAACATCCCGAGCGTACGGCGTACTGTGTCGTGTGTGCGTTTACAAACATACAAGTTCACATACACATGACACCCAGACCCGGGACAACAATTTGTGGATCACACAAAGAGTTGCTCCGTGTGGAGATCGAAAGCCCAGCCACCGCGCCAACCGATATTTTAAAATTGGCCCAACTTAAAAAAATATATAGGTATTATTAATTATAATTATTTTATTAAGATCTTCTCCTCATTTCTTCCAGATAATCTACTACGAGCACGCCCAACACCAGCACCACTACGACCACGAGGAGGAGGAGCACGGCTGGGGACCCTGGTCTAGGAGTATACTGCCAGACGAAGTGAGTATGGAGGTCGGTACCTGCTGCCTTCAAAAAAAGTTAATATCGATAAATTAATCAGGGGGCTTACTCTTGAAGCCAATTCCTATCGATCGACATTGGTATTGCGAAATTTCGTACTCTCGAGTTGCAACACTAGCGCCCATTGCATACGTATTGCGTGAATATTTAATGAACTAAATGGTATTGAGTTTCGCTTTATATTCCGTACTCTGAATGCTATTTTAACAGCTACGATAGGGGTTGTATAGAGTCAGACATTGAATAATTATTGAGATTTTATTGGATTGAAATTACATTGAGATTGGTTTTGCATAAGGGTGCGGGCTCGAAACCTACCAACGGCGAGTACCAATGTGACTTTTTCCAAGTTATATGTACTTTCTAAGATTATTCAGACACCACTGACAGACGGTGAAGGAAAACGTCGTGAGGAAACCTGGGCGTATAATTTCTAATTATAAGTTTGAAATCACCAACCCGCATTGAGCAAGCAATTAATGCTCAAACCTTCTCTATGTGATAAGAGGTCTTCAGTCAGCAGTGGACAGATATAGGCTGTTAATGATGATGACGGTCTACCTATTCGGATACATATTATTTATACAATATAAATAAAATAATCATAATTTATCTTTACTCAACAGGAAAGTGAAGCCGATGCTAGCGAAGTATCCCCCTACAAGGCGCAAGAACGGAACCCATTAGTCTATAGCCGTCCTTATCTAACGAGGGTTTAATATATCGCTATCTCTATCACTCCAGTCATAGAACATAACCTATAAACGCTTGCTTGACAGTTGACATTATTTTGACAGAACGCCATTTTGAAATTAGGGATTTAAACGAAAATGTATTTTGCTATTAATGTGGTAGGATTGAAGGTAGGTTGATTTGAACAGATGTGGTTTTTGTACTATTAAGATTATCTTTTTTTATAAATAATATATATATAACTATAATAAATGAATGGTTTGTGGCGGGTTCGATTCCCAAGTTGAGGTAATTAATATAAAAGCATGATGATAAGTTTTGTAAAACCGTCTTTTTTCAAATTAATAATAAAAGTATCAAGTAGTCGAACAATAATGTCAGTGTTGCAAGCAAAAAGGTGTGGTGTTGCAATTATATAAAATTATACCTAAGATTTAAGTATAATTAATAAATAAGGCATTATTAATTAAGTTGTGGCCATAAGTGTGTTTGTTAATTTATTGTGTGAATGTGTGTGTATGCCTTTATTTATTTATTAATTAATAAATTATTATTTCTAAAATATAGTTTTTTTACTACCCTTAACTCTGAAGATATTTAACCAAGGTCTATCTAAAGAAGGACAATAGTAAGTACTCCATTGACAAAGCCTGGGCATAAGGGCGAATAATTATTGAAATTTCTATTTTTTATTTACTGTTTGTAATTGTCTCAAGGTCCATAAACCATTAGCGAAAAAGTAGTTTGACTGACTTCAAGAAAAGGCGGAGGTACTATGTTCGTATGATTGTTTTGTTTTTTGTTCACCGTTTACTCTGTCATTTGTGAACCGATTTGCTAAATTTTTACACACAGAATTTATTTGATTGTTCTTTGTAGTGTGAATGTGTCTAGCTCAGAAACTGCTAGTCCAACATGAATAATTATTTAAGCTTTTTGCAGCTTTTTTTATAAGATATGCCTATGTCCAGCAATGGACGGAAATGACGATGAAATAAAAAATAGAAAGTTATTATAAAAACCAAAAATATATTTTCTCATTAATACATACAGTTAAACAATCATTACATACAGGCACTAAAACAAAAATACCGACAACCACCAAACTACTAGAATCACGGAAATATCCGAAAATACCGAAATCGTCCGAATTATCGGGGTGAATATTTCGGATTGTCCGGCGCATAGGTGAAACTCCTAAGTTCATACGAAACACCATTTTGGTTTTCATAGTCGTCAAAGTCCGAACAACCTCCGAAAACCCGATTCGGTTTTCGGTCAGAAGAAGTCGGGTCGGTTTCGGACGAAGTCGGCTCGGAATTAGTCGGCAGAGGTCGGAATAAGGCGGAATGGGCTGTCGCCGTATCGAGATCGGCTTTCCTAGATACAATTATACGTATGTCCGTGTGCAGGTACAATTTACCGGATTTCGATGTCATGAATCTGAAAAGAGAGACAACATAAAATAAGTCAAAGTCAAAATCATTTAATTTAAATTAGGTACTTGCCAACTAGTCAAATTCAATACTTTTATCGTACTGTCAAAAACGACAGTTTTCTATGAATTTTGTACGAGATTGTGTATTGTGACGTCACGTATGTTATGAGTAAAACAGCATACTTATTCCTTAAAAAAATGCTGGAAAGGTACTAAAATTAAGTTGGTCATATAATCAACTACTGAAAGTGTGATTATTTTTTAATATTTTACTGTATTGAACAGTCGAATTACATTATTTTTGATTAAAGCAATTAGACAAGGAAGACACTTTTGAATGTCAAAACAAAAACTTAAATATTAAAAATGTCAGTCTGTCAGTCCGTTCTCTAGTTGCTCTATTTGTTCGTTCCAAAGTGTAGATTCCTATGGAGAAGAACGAGCAAGATATTCTATAGGTTACTTTTCTAATTAGCAACTGTAGCTAAATACCATTTAGTGCTTGTCTACGTGTAGAATAGAAAACCAAATTATATGGAATTGACGTAAATTTTGACACTTGTCAGTGTCATCCCCATACATTTAGTTTTCTACTCTCTCTTTAGACAAGCGCTAAAGTGGCGTTTGACTAAAGACAATGGTTCATAATACAATTAAATTACAATTCAATTAGTATATGGCATAACATCAATGGTGGAATAATTTTGTTACTCCGACTACAGTTCCGTGGCCAAAGTGCTTGATGTTATGTCACTAAAAAATTAAGCAAAAAGTCGTCGAATTTCACAAATTCGGAATCCATTAATTACAATATCTATACAAAAAGTTTTTAAATATTAAATTTAATTTTTTAGTATTCTTGTATGTATGTATGTATAGTATTTTATACAGATATTAATTAATGTACACTTGACGACCCATTTCAGACTCCTGTTGCTGCTCCATCCAAAGGTTGTCTGTAAGAAATCGCCTTGTGCGATAAGACCGCCCATTGTACACTATTTTGTTTTAGGAAATATTGTCCTGTATTACAATTGTGTGGTGTACAATAAAGCATATATTATTATTATTATTATTTAATATATTTTTTTGACATTGATAGTGTGACTGATTGTCTGATATTTGACATAGACAATGTGACTAACTGTCTTAGAATTAATAATTGTGTCATTGTTGTTAATTATGTTTGTGTTTATTTATGAATTTGAACATAACCTACTACTCATGTACAGTCAAAGGTCAAAAGTCCACAGCCACCGTGAGTGACGTTCACACGGCAATACGTAAGTAATTTCATATGAATGTGCATAAAAACGCGTATATATATTTTGTGTGTGTGTGCGTATAAGCGCTACAGCGCAACCGATATTAGTCTTACGGTGTGCAGTGGACTTTTGACCTTTTGCCGTACAAGCATTACATGGTCGTTACGAGTATAACCCTTGCCTGAGATGTATGAGGTAGCGCAGCCACTTGTGCGCGGCGGGCGGCGGCAGCGCGGCGGCGGCCGGCATGTAGAGCGTGCGCTGGCGCAGGAAGGTGCGCGCGGCGGGCGGCATGGTGCCGCGGCTGTGTGTGTGTGTGTGTGTGGGAGTGGCGAGTACAGTGCGTGTGTGCAGGCGGTGTCGGTGCGACTGGGCCCCGCGGAGCGCGCGGCGGGCGGCATGGCCGACAGGTCGTACAGCACCACGAACATCTTCACCAGCGTGCCGTGCGGGTTGAACAGCGACACCTGCACCGTGCCCGCGCGCGCCACGCGGTACCCGCGCGCGCCCAGCGCGATGTGGCCCTGCGGACATTACATTCGGGACTTTCCTTAAACTGTCAAACACCGCGAAGACACCGGTGACCGCAACCTATTGTTCTTTAATTGTGTCTATAATGACGGTACTCAAAGAGTTAATCAGTTTTTAATTATTTCGATTTGAAATTGTTTTTTGTTTTCTGTCCTTACTTAGATACAATTGTTAAACATTTTTTACGAAATATTTATATGTAAGAGGGAGACAGGAGCCCCAAACTAAATCAGAGAATTGAATTATGGACTTGCTTATTGGATTCTGTTAGATAGATTAATTTGTAAGTGCTTCGGCCCTGAGTGATACCTCCACCGAACTGGACACCATAGTAACACAAGCACAGCGTTGTGTTTAGTGGAACACCGGTTACCTTCCCCCCTCCCCAATCCCCGAATCCCCCAGAATCCTCAAATTCTCAATTCTCAAAAGGCCGGTAACGCACTTGTAATGCCTCTGGTGTTTCAAGTGTCCATGGGCAGTGCCAATTGCTTACCATCTGGTGATCCGTCAGGTCGTTAACGACTTATTCGATAAAAAACATAAATAATAATATAATTCTTACCATATATGGTGCATTAGTTCCCCCCGGCGCGTAGAAGAAGACAGTGACGGGCAGACGTTTGTGTGGGGGACAGAACGACCCGTACGCGCCCAGCTCCGCCGTGAACCCGTGCACCGTCGCCACTGGCTCCAGACGACCCTTCAGAGCTGATTCTTCGAAACTACCTGTAATTGAAATAATAGATACATTTATAAATTACTAGCTTTTACCCGCGTCTTCGCTCGCGTCACAAAAGGATAAAAAGTAGCCTATGTGACATACACACAGCGCCATCTATACCAATAATTTCGTTTTCCCTCTAGACTATCAAATTTTTCCGAGATTAAAAGTACCCTATTATTTAATCCAGACTTATAACTTTACGTCTGCAAAAATTCAAAGCAATCGGTTCAGTAGTTACGGCGTGAAAGCGGAACAAACAAACTCACTTTCCGATTTATAATATTATTATTAATAAGGAAAAGCCATTAACTTCTTAATCCGCGATTATGAAAATCTACAACATTTGTTCATGCAAAAGTAGTCTCTAAACATCGGAAATAAGGTATAAATTTAAAAAAGAAACGTTGCCCCACATTAGGATTTTATCCTGTGTCGTTGCGTTTACAAACATACAAGTTCATATACACATTACACCCAGACACGGAACGACTGTATGTGGATCACACAGAGTGTTGTTCCGTTAGGAAATTGAACCCGCGACACGTTGCACGGCAGCCGGTTGCCCAGCCACTGCACCAACCGTGCAGTCAATATATAAATATATAATAATGGAGTAAATTGAGAGCGGTCACCAGTGACCACTTGGGGATCGGGCTAAATGGTAGCTTTATATAACTGAGAATAACTGATTTGATATAAACAGCCTTCTTCATAGGGTCACGAAGGTCTAATTCACAAAAAAATTTTTTTCTAATTATGAGGTTACAATTTTAGAAAATTTTCAGTAATAACATAATATTATGTATATGGAATTATACCCAAGTACGAATATTAGAATTGTAAATTGCAATAGATTCCCCAACGTAATAAACAAAAATACATGTCTAAGTGTTATAATTGTCACGCAAATCAACAGATAAATGGGTCATACTTAGATAGATAGATAGATAGATTCATTTATTTGCCTAAAATATGGTGGTTTACAGATTTTATAGCATAACAATAGTTCATTATATCTCGCCTATAAATTCGGCATTCTAATGATTATTTAAAGTAGTAAGTATTTACCAAGTAATCCAGTACTGGGTCGCATCTTAATCTTGGTCTGGGCCGGCGCTGGTGGGGGAGGCGGCGCGGCGCTGACGGGGGACACCGCCGCGGGGGACACCGGCATAGCCGGTGGGGGGTGGAACAGAGCGCTGCGGGGGGACGTACTTTGAAATACGCTATTATAACATTATAATTAAATAATGAGTTTATTAAGCCTCACTGTAGACAAACCTCTTTGTCGGTCATGCGATAGCTACCTAATTTTAAAGAATTGGTTTAACTTCTAGGCCTGTAGGTATCCTGACGAATTTTTCGTTAGTGCAACGATTTACAGATATGAACACTAAACATTTTGTACCATCTTCTGTCTTCTTTCGTTTTGATACAAACAGATTTAAAACTCTATTGTCAAAATTAATAATAGTTGAAAATATAGTCACATAAGAGAAATGTTAGCACGATAACAAGAAATCTAAGTTTCAAGAATGACGATGCTCATTGATGAGTAAATTTTACAGTAACTGCAATTTGATAATACAATCTACACAAACACTATATGAAAGTAAAAATAATTATTCTGGTTACAACATACCTCTTAATTCCAGAAATGCCATTAATCGAATCATCAAAATCAAAGCAGTTGTTCCCCCTCCGTAGCGGCGCCGGACTGGAGGTCAACGGCAGACCAGTCTTTGTATGAAACACCATAGAAGCCGCAGAATCAAACCGCCACCGAAACCTATCCATCTCAGTCGGGGACGGCACTTGATTATCCTGTTTCTTCGGATCGGGGAACTTGAATCCCTTGTCAGTCACCTCCGGGGGAGACTCCTCCTTCGGCGACTCCTCAATATTCTCCACTCGGTCAAACGTCCCGTAGTCACATTTTTCGTAAAACACGTAGTCGTCATTGCTTATGGAATAAGTCTTCTGTCTCTTCGACTCCCTCGGACGAGAGAACACCGTGTCCTCCTTCTCCAGCTGCAGCTCCTGTATATCATTGTCCCTCTGCGCGAACCGATCCGTCACAATCTTCTCGATTTTGTCCACAATCGGGAAAAACCTCCGCAGCTTAGGTCTCTTTATAATGTCACTATTATCACTAATACTATGATTACTATCACAATATGTATCACATTTATGCTTCTTTATCTTCTTTTCATCTTCTTGCACACTCTGTGGGTTGTCGACGGACGCCAGGTTGTAGTTCCCCTCGGACCGGACCATGCCCCGGTCGCTACACGAGTCGCACGTCATCTGCAGAACGTTCCCACATTGGCAGGACAGTTCCTCGGTTTGTGTTGATACCGTGTTGGTTTTTCTGAACTCAGCTGGTGGTGGTACATCAGTGTCGATGAACGGTGACTTGGTCTCGATCCTGGTGGCTGGCAGTGTTAGGTAGGTTTGGTTTCTGTAGCACCCGATGGCCCTGAACCTGTCGAACCTCGAAGCTTGGAGGATGGGTATGGAAGTGTGGGTCTCCTTTGCTCTCTGCAGCCCATCCCCTTCCGACGACGTGCTATCGTGTAACTTCTTTATCTTACATTCTTTTCGGATTCGTCTCTTGTATTTAGCGATTTCCTTGAGCCGTTTGTCATCGAGTTTCTTAGGTCGGTTTCCATCTGATTCCTCGTCGCAGTTACATTTGTGTTTCCCGTTTTCGCTGCACGGCGTGAGCATTCTGTCGTCGACGACGTCTGCGTTATCGAACTTATTACCTATTGTGAGATCATTGAGTTTGCCGACAATTTCGTCATGTATATTGGGCGGGGTGTCTTTGCTAGTTTTCCGTTTTGGGCAGGTGCATTTGATGTGTGGAATATCATCGAGTCTGGGTAGACTCTCCAGTATAATGTTGAGGTACATGTTATTGCCAATGTCGGTGACTGGGAATTTATGGTCGTTAGGAGGTCGGACGAAGTCGGACTTTTTATAGCTGTCTCGAGATATGTGTATGGAGTAAACGACGTTCAGTTTGCGATCGGATTGGTCGTCGTCACAGTTCGCTTCGATCTTCTTGTAATTGCAGGACTCGCGGCTTAACTTGCGTCTGGAAGAGGAAATGTATTTGTTAATGTTGTGTATTACTAGGTGACTCGGCAAACGTTGTTTTGCCATATAAATAATTTCGTAGAAAAGTGAAAATTGAGGATTGTATGTATTTTTATATGTTGTGTCATAAAAAAACAGAAATTAAAAATTTTGTCTAAAAAAAAATTTTGGGTTGGAACCCTCTAACATTTAGGGGGATGAAAATAGATGTTGGCAGATTCTCATAGATACCGGATAAGCACAAAACATTTTATTACCGGATAAGCACAAGAAATTAATTGATTTGATTTTGACTTTATAAGTTACCTGCGTTCGGTGGGACTTTCATCCGTGTTCTTGAGTCTAGCGAGCCAGGCTGACAGCTGCGAGAAGTGAAGCTGTGACCTCACGGCGTTCAGCAGCCACTGCGACGTACTGAACGCTGGGCTGTGGTCCCCCCTGCAAATAGAGGATATGCTTATGCTGTGACGTCGAAACTGATTTTAGAAAAATATATATAAAACTAGCGGTCCCAACAGACGTTGTCCTGCATATCCACTTGAATGTATAAACAAAAATTCATTCAAATTAGTTCAGCTGTTCAGGATAAATAACCTAGACACCGACTGCAGCGCCATCTGCCGGGCTGATTTGTGAATCTAAATCATTCCCAGATCCCCTTGAACACACACAAAAAATTTCATCAAAATCGGTCCAGTCGTTTGAGAGAAGTTCAGTGACATACACACTCACAGAAGAATTATGTACATATATAAAAGATGTGATTATTACGGCCGTTTTCACCAAACCATGTCTTAAATAAGAGTTACTTAGCGTGAGGGAGTACCTAAACTGGCCCCTTACCTGTACGTGACACTTATAGTCGTGAAAATTAAAATGTTAGGTGTCACAACAATGTCAACTGTCTTAGGCTTAGAGGTTCCTTTAAATTTTAGATAGGGTGGTAAAAACAGGCTTTAGTCTGTTGTAAATATTATGTTTAATACGTCATTATTCCTTTCTCAACCTATGCTGGACAAGCTCCTGGACAAACCTACAATAGTCCGATCTTTTTTTACAGCATAAGCCGGCAAACGAGCACACGGAGCAGCGATGATGAACCCCTCTGTGGTTCGAAACTAGTAGAGCGCGATGTCGCGCACGTTGCTCATGAGGAAGAACCCCTCTGTGGTTTGAAACTAGTAGAGCTTTTCTCAGTATATTCACGTGAATAACCCGCAATTTTTAATTAATTTAGTACGTCACATTGGCTTGAAATTGGCATTGAAAATCGTTGCAAGAGTAAGCCCTTCTTGAGGGGAGAAAATCATCCAATGACTTCTTCTACCTTGGGTGAGGCGAGAGGATTTCAATAATCCAACGTTTTCTGCTCACCGGCTGTAGGAACGGGTTTTCGTCCAACCACAGAAGCTGTCAAATATTTCAAGTCCAATGCTTTTTACTTATATTTCTTTTAAAAACAACGTTGCCCCACACTAGGATTTTCTAGGGTGCGTTTACAAACATACAAGTTCACATACACATGACACCCAGACCCGAAGCAACAATTTGTGGATAACACAAAGTTGTTCCGTGTGGGAATCGAACCCACTACACGTTGCCGGTTGCCCAGCCCTCGCAGCAACCGTGCAGTCCAATGGTTTGACACTAGCTATTTCTTTATTGTACAAGAGTTCACACTGGCGCCATCTAGTGAAAGACAAAAACCGTAGCCCCCATTGATTGATTTTGTTTGTTTCACTTTAACTATAGTTGTTACACCTGAATAGCTTACTTCTTGACACAGGCGCTCATGGTCCACCTCTCGAGCAGCAGTGCGCGGTGCGCGTGCTTCTCGAACGAGTCGCCGTCGCGGCACAGCGAGGAGTAACATTCCTGGCAGTCCGGAGCTAGCAACACCTGGAATATAGAAACGAAGGAATCTATCAGACCAGTTAGCAACATAGCTGCTGTAAAAAAACCCGAGGGAATCGGAAACTATTCCTTTTCTTCTCCTCTAATAATAACTCCTGATGAATTTAGTTACGGGATCCAATACAGTTGTTCATGTCCCTGGGACGTTGACCTTCAGTGTTTCAGTGTTTTTGTGGTTGTATCTATTAAAAACCCTGGCGTACAGGAGTTGAAACGCATTTGGGAGGTTGCGTCGGGCTCTTCTCAAATGAACTGACTGAATTGGGATAAACGAGCAGACGGATCACCTGATGGTACGCAATCAGCGCCACAACACCAGAGGAGATACAAGGCCCTTGCCAGTCTTTTAGGAAGTTAGACCTTCTGGGAACTTCACTCTTAAATCTCTGGACGTAGTATACGGAGTTTTAGAGTGCCTTTGGTTGTTCCGTGTCAATTTTCTGCTGTGATACCAGTCCAGCTGAAGTGTGGCTCTTCTATAGAAGTTTCGTATTAGTTTATGTACTAACCTCAATACAAACAGGTATCTGCTCATCCCAGAGCGCTTGTACGCGAGTGTTGAGCTTAGCTTCATGTGCTGGCTTCGGCTCCTCGGTCTCTGCTGGTTTCGGTTGAGTCTGGACCTGGAAATTCAATATTAAACATAATGATTATTAGACTGATAAGGCACACACCTTTTTTTCACATTTATTTTATCTTATATTTCTGGTTCATAATCATTATCAACACCCAATAAATGCCCACTGCTGAGCAAAGCCTCTTCTTACACGGAAAAGGTTTAAGCATTAATCAAGCTTGCTTATTGCTGGTTGGCGAATCCAAACTTCTTATTAGAAATTATAAGCCCAAGTTTCCTCACGATATATTAAATACAATATAATATCTAGTAGATAAGAAAAAATAATGCCAACTACCAGGATTGTTATCAACTATCAAAGAGATGGACACGAAAAAGATTGTCTTGTATTTTGTCAGATTTCAATGCAACGGGCTCATAAAAGTCTACTAGGGCAGCAAGTCCACTAGGGTACACCAACATAGACTACCAGTAGAATATCCAGTGAGAAGATAGAAATGAATAAAGTATCATCAAGAAGAAAGAAAACTTAAGAAAACTGCCAGGATATTCATTTTAAAGGAAGAAATTTCATTGAAAGTATATTTTTGTGTTTTTAATCAAATGCAAGTACCAGGGCACCATACCTGTGTCGACTGTGTACTAGTTGAAGGGTTAGTAGCCAGAAGTTTGGCGTGGATCAGTCGGTCGTGTGGCGGGGCGCGAGTTGCAGGGCTGGTGCTTCGAGACCGGACTATGAGCCGGCCCAGCTGCAGGAGGAGATTGGGCCCAGACGCCGGTGGCGCCACCGGCACTGGATCGCAACTGTGCATCTGTAATAGACAAAAAATGGATGTCAGGATGGTGTCGACACGTATAGCATTTAGGCAGAAAGTACGTGAGCTTCTCTTGAAGAGGTTGGCTGAATCATCACGCTAATTATTTACAGAGTATTAGTTATTATGTTCATATTTATATATTATGAGTCTATGTATGTATGTATGTATGTATGTATGTATGCATGTATGTATATTGTATTGTACTCGTGTGTAGGTAATAATAATAATATATACATATATTATTATATATAATAACTAGCTGTTGCCCGCGACTTCGTCCGCGTAGAATAATGACTTTTGGCAGAATTTAGGCATTTGAATTAGTTTTTATCAAGGGATATTCTACGGTAATGGATGTCGTCAGAATTGATTCAGTCCCGTAGATGATAGCGTGATAATATGTAGCCTATATGTTTACCAGACTTGTTAGTAATATTCATGCAAAATTTGAAATAGTAGTGCAGTACTTTTTGAGATCATCACGGCCATGCATACAGACAAACAGACAAAAATTCTAAAAACCACATTATTGGCTTCGGTATCGATTAGAGATCACGCTTCAAATATTCTTTTAAAAAATATTCAATGTACAGTTTTGACTTTTCTACGATTTATTATATGTGTAGATAGCTGTTGCCCGCGACTTCGTCCGCGTAGATTAATGACTTCTGACAGAATTAACCAGAATCAATTCAGTGCCCAAGTAAGATTTACCTATTTTGAAATGATTTATCGTAGTTTCAATAAATAAATAATCCCGCAGGGATCTTACCAGTACAGTGCCCGATCACGTAAGGTTTGAGTAATAAAAACTATTCTATCGACTATTGTTGTACCGAATCTCTCTAGAATAAGTTCAGTGGTTAAGAGTTAGAGAGTCCTGGGGCATTGACGCATAGTTCCCGTTCTCGTGAGACATCTGTGAAAAAACTATCATACGTTACCCAGGTCCCAAATCATCGTTTTACCGAATGTAATTCAAAAAGATTCAATGATTCTAAATTCAACGGCTAAGAAGATTTATACAAACTCTCATTCCCTATTTTATCCCCTTAGGGGTGGAATTTATCAAAATCCTTTCTAAAGAGATACCTATGTCATAGTAACTTTATGCATGCAAAGTCTCAGCCCGATCAATTTAAAACTGGCAAAGTATCATACTTTGGGGTGAGAATGTTCAAAAACCTTTCTAAAGGGACGTTTACGTCATAATATCCATCTGCACGCCGAATTTCAACCCGATCGGTGTAAAACTGACAAAGCCTCACACAAACGTTCATCCCCTATTTTACCCCCTTGGTGGAAATTATCAAAATCCTTTCAAAGCGGATGCTTACGTCATAACATCTATCTGCATGCCAAATTTCAACCTGATCGGTTTAAAACTGACAAAGGCTCATATAAACTTTCATCCCCTATTTTACCCACTTGGGGGTGGAAATTATCAAAATCCTTTCACAGCGGACGCCTACGTCGTAACATCTATCTGCATGCCAAATTACAACCCGATCGGTTTAAAACTGACAAAGGCTCATATAAACTTTCATCCCCTATTTTACCCACTTGGGGGTGGAAATTATCAAAATCCTTTCATAGCGGACGCCTACGTCGTAACATCTATCTGCATGCCAAATTACAACCCGATCGGTTTAAAACTGACAAAGGCTCATATAAACTTTCATCCCCTATTTTACCCACTTGGGGGTGGAAATTATCAAAATCCTTTCATATCGGATGCTTACGTCATAACATCTATCTGCATGCCAAATTACAACCCGATCGGTTTAAAACTGACAAAGTCTCATACAAACTTTCATCCCCTATTTTACCCCCATTGGGGGTGGAAATTATCAAAATCCTTTCACATCGGATGCTTACGTCATAACATCTATCTGCATGCCAAATTACAACCCGATCGGTTTAAAACTGACAAAGTCTCATACAAACTTTCATCCCCTTTTTTACCCCCTTGGGGGTGGAAATTATCAAAATCCTTTCTTAGCGAATGCCTACGTCATAACATCTATCTGTATGCCAAATTTTAGCCCAATCTGTCCAGCGGTTTGGGCTGTGCGTTGATAGATCACTATGTCAGTCAGTCAATCAGTCAGTCAGTCAATCACCTTTGAATTTTATATATATAGATATATACATATATTATTATTATATTTATTTATGTTCGTATCTGAAATATGTTAGTATAATCTTCTATTTTCTCAATCAAATCGTTGCTTGCTTCTTCCTCCTACCACTCACTCTTCTCTGCATCACCCAAAGGTCAGACTGGGAGAAAATGCCTGCGGCATTAAGTCCACCTTGTGTACACATTGTGCATGAAGCGTTAATAAATAAATAAATAAATAAAAACTAAATAATTTTTATGTTACATTAGTTTATTAGTCGCAGCAAAGCTTGTTGCAATTTAAAAAGTTTTACACAGAATCCTTTACTCAAAGATTATCTATTCATTCGTGAAAATCGCGTAGAAAATTGTTCATTAGTTTATGAGAATGAACAGACAGACGAGAAGCGCGACTTAAGTCAGTCTTGCCAGTTCAACTCTGCAAAGCTTTACAACTTTACTATCAAGCTGAATGTTTCAAGTTTGATTCTAGCGTTAAGTAAATAAGGAGCTCTTTTTTTATTTCGGCGACCATGAAAAGCCAATTAAAAAAACTATACCTTCAAACCAGAAAACCCAAACTCAAAGCATTTATTTCAATTAAACCATAATTTGGTACTTTTGAAACGTCAACAAATAGGAAATAAATAATAGTCTGTCAGTCAGTCCGTCAGTGAAGCTAGGCGCTCGTTCCAAAATGTCGATTCGAATGGAGAAGAACGAGCAAGAAAATCCATAACTAAGTTTCATAATAATAACCAACTAATATCGTCTATATCAGGTTAAAACGCCAGCGGTTATAAATAGCCCAGCCAGTTAGGGATAGCCTACTTTATCATTGGTTTGACCCATATAACAACTAGGACACCAGGGTCGAAAGGTGAACGAGTCCAGTTACGGTCAAATTCGATTTCTTTTAAACCCCTAGACCGGTGTGGTGACGGCAGTAGAATACACTTGTCAGCACCCCCACTCTTCCCGCGGGTGTCGTATATCCGACTAAAGGACGTGTAGTCCTTTAGACAGAGGTGCAGCAGGACTCTCTGATAAACCTGAACCTTTTACACTACGGTCTTCATTCGTTCGTTTTAACGCGCTACTCTCCGAAACTACTGGTCTGATTTGTATAATTATTTTACGTTTACCGATGAAAGCTAGGAACCAATCAGAGCTAGTGAAATATTTAATAATTTTGGGGGGGGGAGGCGTTCGTCACACCAGCGCTTCTTAGATCGAGTCGCCATTGGTTCCAAAATCTTTTACTCAACAATCTTCCTTCACCTTGATATAACGACGTGCTCCATCGTAGACCGCATCATCGTGCACCACCAGGCAAGATAGTGGTCAAACGACGGCCCATAAATATATAAAAAAAATACATACAACTACAAAACCAATTTTCATTAAACCTCATTCATAACTCATTAAAATCATCCTATAATTCATACTACCAGCACATTATAGGAGGGGCAACCCTTGACCTACTTTACTGATGCAACCTCCCCTCCCCCTCCCGACCTACTACCCTGCTGGCCCGGATTCAAAGCTCTTTGTGTAGGGATGAAAGTATCTACTAGCGATTTCCTTTGTTCTCTTATAGTGGATTGAAAATAGCTAAATGCAAGATTGTGAGCAAAGCCATGTAGGATAGGTAAAAAGAACTTAGGTATCGTCATGTTCACAGCAGCTCATGTAGTGCAGAGATTGTCCAGTCAACAAGGATGTAGCGTAGACTGTCCAGGCGACACACGTACTTAGGTATCGTCATGAGCTAATGTTCACGTGTAAACAGCCGCTCATGTAGTGCTGAGATTGTCCAGTCAACAAGGATGTAGCGTAGACTGTCCAGGCGACACACGTACTTAGGTATCGTCATGAGCTAATGTTCACATGTAAACAGCAGCTCATGTAGTGCAGAGATTGTCCAGTCAACAAGGATGTAGCGTAGACTGTCCAGGCGACACACGTACTTAGGTATCGTCATGAGCTAATGTTCACATGTAAACAGCAGCTCATGTAGTGCAGAGATTGTCCAGTCAACAAGGATGTAGCGTTGACTGTCCAGGCGACACACGTACTTAGGGTATAGTCAAGAGCTAATATACAGTAATTCATATAGAATTCGTATCACCTACACATATATGTAATTTACACAATATCGTCAGTTGCAAGCAGGAAACAACAAAAAAATTTAATTATCATTATCGAAATGAATTCTAAACGTGACTAAATATATTCTAGACAATTTCTCAAGTATTGCACTAGAGCGACGATTTCATTGGTTGGTGAGAATGTTACGAGTGCTACACACGTCACTTATTGTACACGAGTGCATGGTAACTAGTTATCGATTCTTTCACATTGCATTACTTATACCTAAAGGTACTCTCTCACCGGGAGCATGATCGCGTGTAGTGTTACAGTGTGTAACGTTACAGATCTGGGGGCTTACTCTTGAATTCAATTCCGATCGATCGATATTGGTATTGTGAATTTTGGTACTCTTGAGTTGCAACACTAGCGCCCATTGCATTCGGATTGTGTGGATATTGAATGAACTAAATGGTATTGAGTTTGGCTTTATATTCCGTACTCTGAATGTTATTTTAACAGTTACAATAGGGGTTGTATAGTTTTGACATTGAATAATTATTGAGTTTTTATTGGATTGAAATTGCATTGAGATTGGTTTCAAGAGTAAGCACCCTGAGCATTACATCAGTGAAGGAGGAGAACCGAGCATTACAATGCGCACCTTGTAATGATACAATGTGTAATATCTTGATACAACTTGTAACATCAATGTCTGACATCTTGCTATGAAATGCTCAAAGTCGAATCAATATGTTACATTACACGCAAATGCTCGTTA